GACCATGAAAGAATCTTGTTTTTCAAATTCCACTCCATCTCCATGCAAGAACCAAGAGCTGTTCCGACCGGTTGAGGAGGCACGGCAACAAGCATGCAATCAGCCGATCAGGGAATCGGCATAGCCGGGTCAGCACTTCAGCTATCTCATGCTTCTCACCAAGTCTGGTGGTGAAGTGTAGCATCACCAGTGCAACAGCTATATACTGTATTGTTGCAGTCTTAGGTTTTTCAAAGACAAAAGGTGCAGGACGCAAAGCGAAATATCACAGCAAGAAATTTGTAAGGCATCACCACACAATGGTTGATACCGCTTTCTGAGTCAACTAGAACATTTAAATCTGTTCATTCCGGAACATTTGCAAATCTGTTCTTTAATGGTGATCAACGCAAAAGGGCTGTTCTGGGAATTGAACCCAGGACCTCTCGCACCCGAAGCGAGAATCATACCACTAGACCAAACAGCCAACTGAGAGATGTTTCCAAAATTTGTTTTTACAATTTTCTAGTGATCTTTGTTCAGCATGCCATGCACTTCAAAACGTTCCGGAAAAGCTCACCTGATCTTGCACCAAACAAAATATCTTCGAAGGTCATCGTTTGGCCCCAGCATTCGCCAGCTCGAGGCCCAACGGACCTGTTCCGCTGAAGTTTTCCTGCTGGCAAACTTTCGAAAGGGACCACATTCAGCCAAACCCTTTTGAGAGACATGCCAAAGCATAATCCTGAGAGGAAATTCTGTGTTCTTGAAGTGTTTGGCACCTCGGTGTCACGACCTGGACCGAGGTGCCAACTGGAGGCTGCAACCGATTCACTCCAAGAACGGGTTTTGAAACAGATTGGAGTGATCACACTCCATGCGGTCCAGGACGTCATGTGGAAACGTTTGATGTCGTTTCATCTGTGGGAGCTCACTGATAAGGTTTTGAATTAAAGGTCATGGAGACCAGGCGACTGTTGCAAGCGGGCATGAATGTCATTCCAAACTTCAGGTCCAGTGCCTCTATCGAAATTCTCTACTTTATCCTCCTCCTATGTCTTAGGGATCTACCACAATTGTGCTTGTGAGGGATGTGCATTGAGTTTCATCTTGTGAGACAAGTCATTGATCTGCTCATGCTGCATGCCGGAGTCGGAACTTATACCCTACCGCTGCTCTTCGAGACACGGCAATGGTTCTGCCAGAAGGAATGGACCTTCTGAAGATTGAGCAGTGTGAATTGGAAAGGGGACGAGAGGTGCTCGGAATGAAATATACATTCAAGACATGACGCTGTCAGAGGTGCAGCTCACCATTCCTTCCTTGATCAAAGCGCTTTCCATCCATCTTGAGCACGAAGCCATTCGACCGGTGGTAGGCCAGTTAGTTCCCAAAGAGCGAATCATCAGATCGCGCATGGTCATCGTAAATAAGAAACAACCACAGCTTGGTTTTGAACCCAAAGGAAGACTTTGTGTTGGAGGACACAAGGACCCTGATTTGGGGAAATATGAAGCAGCAAGTCCAACTGCTCTTTCCCTTGCTCACTCCTTGTTGATTTGCATAGCGACGACGTTGGGTTGGCAAATCAACATTGCAGATGTGACTGCAGCCTTTTTAAAATGTTGGCACTCCCAAGAACAGATCCTTTGTATGCGCACACCTTCCCGTTGTCCACAAGAAGTGCTTGACTACATGGGTTGGCGCTTTGCAACAAAAGGAATTTTGGGACTGAGTGAAAGCCTGGTATCTTCGGTTCCGGGAAACGTTGGTCAACCTGGGGCTCAAAGAATCCAAACTTATTCCATGTTTGTTTATGAAGCACAAATGACCAAGGTGTGTTAATCGGCCTCATCACTCTGCACGTGGACGATGCCTTGTTGGCTGGAAGTTCCGAGGTGGAGGCTGACTGGGAGAAGTTGCAGAAGGAACTCAAATTTGGAAGCTGGACCGACTTGAAAGAAGGAGGCAAATCCTTGGACGCGTCATGCGTCAAAGTGAAGATTCCGTGACCATAGACATGAATCAATACTGCGCTGCTTTGACAGAGATCCAATTTGACAGTTCTATGAAAGACAATCAACAGCAATCCTCACAGTTGCGAGCATTGGTTGGACAACTAGGTTGGCTTGCGAAACAAGGAAGACCGGATTTAGCATTTGCGGTCTCTTTCCTTCAACAAAACCTTGTTGATGCAACGGGAAGTACTCTCAGGTTGGGAACAACACTGCGCTGAAAGCCAAACAAGAAACTTCGTTCATTGTTACGCGGCCTCGGGCGTTCTCTGAAGGAGATCATGGTGATCGTCGCAACAGACGGAGCATTGGCTGCCATGCCAAGAGGAAAGTCGCAACTTGGCATTTTCTTGATGTTGGCCAATCCTCGTGTGCAGCGCGAAATGAACGCTGTAGCTCCTGTTGAATGGTGTAGCACAGCGTGCAAGAGAGTCGTACGTAGTTCATCAGCAGTAGAGGCAGCAGCAGCATCACTAGGATACGAACATGCAGAGTTCTTGCGTGCGATCCTGTGTGAAGTTCGAGATCCAAGTTTTGTCATGAAGCGTTGGCTTGAGCATGTTAAGCCATGTCCCATCCTGCTTGTAATAGATGCCAAGGTGGCATATGATTGTTTGTCGAGTGAAGAGCTCAATCAAGACCGTAGAACGGCTCTTGATGTCCGAGCACTCCGGGAATCCTTGGCCAATCCGGATTCCACTTCTTTTTGTAGCTGGACCACAGCAAGCATCCGACTCTTTAAAAAAGCTTCGTGGCAATGACGGTTTGTCAACCATCCTGGCAACAGGACAGTGGACAGTGGTCGAAGACCAAGCGTGGCAAGAAGTCAGGACTCATCAACGATCCACTCAGCGAGCCTATAAGAAGAGGCTTCGATCTGAGAGGGAGGGATGGGCAGAGTCAAAAGACGCTTGACCATCATGTCATTTCTTTTGAGAGTGCACAGTGATTTTCATGGATCGAAGCCCATCACGGCCCAACACCCCGCAGGAAAAGGTTCGTCCGTGTTTGTGCGAGTCACATGGTCGCGCTTGCTCCCTACCACTTCAAGTGAAAGCAACCACAAAGTCGGTCTTCAAGCTGCCGCTGCACTTTCTTCCAATCCTCACGAATGGACTTCGAAGGCGTCTCACCTTCAGTCGCAATGCCCTATGGCAGCGCGGTCGAATCAGGTAGCCTAAAAGCGTCTCGATGAGACGGGTCCCTGAATTGAGGCGATCGGGCACGTCAGAGTCTTGCAACGAACATTCAAAAGCCGAAGCGAACGAACCGAGGTTGGTTGGTTCGTTGGTTGGTTGGGTTGGCTGGCTGGCTGGCTGGCTGGCTGGTTGGTTGGTTGGTTGGTAGGTTGGCTGGTTGGTTGGTTGGTTGGCTGGCTGGCTCGTTTCGTTGGTTGGTGGGTTGGTTGGTTGGTGAGTTGGTTGGCTCGCTGGTTGGTGGGTTGGTTGGCTCGCTCGTTGGTTGGTTCGCTCGTTGGTTGGTTGGGTGGCTGGCACATCTCTTCTAAGAGCTTTGCTTTGCAGGGAATGATAGACTTCACACGTGCATACATTGTTGTAGCGAGCGTCCTTATCAGAAATTCCACGATTATGCACCTAGGTGCCGACTTGTGTCGAAACTTACTGAGCAAAATCAGCAACAAAAAATCAACCAAAAGCACCAAAACAGAACGCAAAAAAGCGATCCACAAAAGCGCAAACAAAAAGCAAAACAATAAGCCAGTAAATCAAACAAAAGAAGAAAGGCAGCAACTGCAGACCACCAAATCGCGTGGCACCAACAAGCCAAGCGATGACATGTGGTGCTTGACAATGTGAAGCGCCGAGCCCAAGTTGGCATTGAACAAAACTCGGTGCTTCATTCATTCAAGTGGGCCATCTGCTATCTTGCACAAAAGCACAAGCACCTACAATGTTGCCAGCAGTCCTTAACTCCCTCACCCTCCTTACCAACTCACTCCTTCACACCCCCACTGCGTTGAGTGTGGTTCACATCACAGTGCGTCATCTGTTTTTCCTACTGTTGAACCACAGGCTGTATACTTGCACATCTCCCTCTATCTGCGTGAGGGTGGCGTCGCCCATTTTGCAAAAGAGATCAGGCGCCATACTTTCCCACAGCATCCCAAAGGCAAACAAAGACTGCTGATCCCGGGTTAGATGGGTTGACATCTGTGACTCGGCAAAAACAATGTCCAAGCCAATGCCTTCTCCACAGCATCCAGTCGGTCGCTCAAGGCCTAGGCTTGTCTCGGAAAAAGCTATGCTGATCATTCTCTTTTCATCTAGAACCCTGAACACTTGGGGAAACCACACTCACTTCAAATAGATCAAGGACCCAACATCAATTGTGGTGTGCGCGTGCTCGAAGCGATGAAGAAAGAAGACCTGAAGCAGGGCGCCCAAAGCAATTGGTAGCCATGGCGGCAGTTATTTTTGCTTGAAGGTCTTGTCCACATTTCAAGACCTCAAGACCAAAGGTTATAGTTATTGAAAAAGATGAGGATGAGGTGTCTGCAAGTCTGTCCTGCTTGCCCTGTGACGTAGCATGACATAGGCCCTACCAATCCATTTGTTCCAAGCAAAACACGTGTTCAGATGGAGTGCCTCCAGCTTGCTTTGAGCTTCAGCCAGCTTTGGATGGAGGAGCTCCTTTCAATCCCGCCACAAAATGAGAAAATATGATGCCCCTGATTTTGGTTGGTGAGTTGCAGCAAATTAAATCTGATGACAGTGAATCAACACCTCTGATTGGCCGAGGAAAGGCCACTTCTCACAGTAAGCCGAGAAGTCTTCTTTAGCTGTGCGGTTTGCTGCTGATGTTCCACGAAGTCATTGACACAAAGCCGCGCATCACCGCCTTCTTCAAGTCCTGATTCTCCCGCAAGCGCCGCTCCTTAAGATTGATCAAGTCATGATGATGTTGGATGTTTCTCCATGAGATTTACAGGATCACAAGGTGCAACAGTCAAACCTTCCAGCAAATCCAAGTCACAGTCTCTTGCTTCAAGCACTCCTCCAAGCGCTGCACCTCAGAAAACGCAGCAAGTGCGGGAGTAGGTTGAGAAAGGAATAAGAATATGGCAATGCTAGAGACTATTCCATGGTGCCAGTGGCCACTAAATCTTCCAGATCAAAGCAAACTTGCTGGACATGTTCTTGGTTTGGACATGGAGACAAATAGGCACAACAGCGATTAAATATGTTAGAAGAAAAAGAGACACGCCTTTTCCTCAGAGCCTTTCCTGTCAGAGCATGAGCCCGTGTGGCCCATGAAAAGGCCTTGGTCTACAAAACAGGCAAAACCTGTGTCTCAGGCAACTCACAAGGGCTCATGCCACGATGAAACAGTCCTGTGTCCACCTTCCACCGCTACACAATGATTTGCTTGCTTTTGTTTGGCTGCGCAGCGGCGCAGCTGCAAAGGCCATGTAGCTAGGTGGCCAGGCCGTTCTCGATGCACAAGGCAGCAAAGCAAATTTGCAAGAAGCCGCACAGCATCGGCAAATTGTGAGAGGTTGCCCCATCCTTGCGTCAGGTGGAAATGTCTCCAGCAGGCTATGAGATTGGGAAACCTCCATCTTACATCTGTCCGCAAACATCTCTCCATGCTTGCTCCAAAGATGCTAGCTAACATTCCACTGAATGGTCTAGCCTAGAATCGTCATGCTGGTCCTCCAGCAAAGGAGCTCTTCGCTTTTTTGCTCTCATGGCCTCACCAAAGATATGACCAACTTCTATAGGTCGGCCTTTCTCCAAGGTCTGCAACAAATACTCCAGACTGATCCTTTCAGAGGAAGCCAGCCACCTCAATCTCCACACACTGGTGTCGGATGTGAAAAAGGCGCTCTTGAGTTGCGGACTTTGAGAACTCTGAAATTTAATTAGGTTTGAAAGAGACCTATACAGCCGTCAAAAGCAACTAAGTTCTGAATGCCGCCAGTTCCACTTCTGCCAAGCAACAAATCGCCCTCCAGCCGACCATTCTGGTGCCACACTACTGTGGAAGAGCTCCGAAGTGCTCGACGCGGCAAGCGCCTCAGCGAAGCGGGTTTGGGTCACCCAGCTCGGTTATTTTGCCTCCACAGAAGTATACAGCTTCAAGAGTGTCTCAATATGCATGCGCAAAACACCGAAGATATTTCCTTTGAGTTGATGGCAACGCGATGCATGCAGATCGGGAAGGTGTGTCTCCAGCAGTCCGCTCACTTTAAGCTCAAACAAGCCACCGAAAAGACCAGTTCTTGTGGACGGACTTGATAAACATGTCCAACACCTACAAAACAAATGTGGTCAAAATTGGATTCCACGATTGACGAAACCTAGATCCTCGACGAATCCCAGTGGCCCTACTGCATTCCAAGCACAAAGACTCTGCAGCTTGCAGTGCCAGCGCTTGCCTGTGATTATGCATGTGGTTCTTTGCCTCAAAGATCTTCTTGGCCTGACATTGACCATGACACATTTTTTGACTCTCAAGGCATGCTCGTTGCTGAATTGGAGCCATCCTGTATATCCTCATACTGGCAACAAACCTCACAGGGTGCAGCGCCTCGAAATTACATTCCCCAGCACCCTTGGCCATCCAAAGTGCACATACCAATGGCTTCCCTCCGGCCTTCGAAATGTCTAGCTCTTCCACTGCTTGATGAAGAGCTGCTTTCAGGTCAACCTCTTATGTGACTTGACATGTTTTGCCAGCTGCAAAAAAAGAAGTTGCATCTGTCCTCACAAGCATTCATCTTCAGCAAGCCTTTTCCACTATACTTCAAACTGCTCCAAGTGACTAAGTGAAGGCCTCTAGGGCAGTCGTGTGGCAGTTGTGTGGTATGATACACTGTGGATCCGGCCAAATTTCAAAAAATGGAATGCATCTCCAAGTCGGGCCTCGTTCCACGGAGCGTAGAAAGGAATGCTTTGACGCCAGGGGTTCTTTTTCGCCTGACACTCCCAAATTGGAACCTCCCATCACAATCTGCTGGCACAAACATCAGCAAAATTGGCCAACACGGACATATGGATAACAACACTTGGATGAAAATAGCAATGTCAGGAATCCAGGGACCTCCTGAAATTTGTGCTTTGCACCGTTGAAGCAGATTGAGATAGTAGAAAACTGCAAAAATAAATGAAGGGGGACATCGGGGACATCCACACATGCTGCCATATATCTAGGCTCCGCGTCCGTGCTCAAAACACCGCATTCATCTCCGGCCCGCTTCAATCATCACAGGCACATGTGTATATATATATATATATCTAGCAGCATTCCAGTCCCTCCCTTCCATCCCAACACGATCCCAACGGAGAACTGTCCGATGCGCTGGAGAATGGGTTCTCTTTCGACCTCTGCAGGTCCATCAATATGATCTTGCAGTGCATCAATCATCACTTTTGACTTGCTCCAATCCTGACTTCGCACACATTGTCGTCAGCAAGAGCCTGAACCTTAAAAAAGAACTTCTGTTCTCCTTCCAAAGCTCCACTCACTTGTATTTGCCTACTCTTAAAACAGATTGTAAGCCTAGCATCCACAGCAGTTGGCTCGCACATTTAATGTCGATTAGAGGTTATATCATATCAAAAGTTTCGTCAAAGCTCTTATTGATGCTAAGCATCTTCTTGCTATTGCATGCTTGGCCTGCAGTTTCAACATCTGACTTCTATAAGTTGTTTCTCTTGAAATCAGTGGGTTGAATCGTGCCTCCTGCGCCGAAACAGCCCTAGTAAGGGCACAGGAAACAGGCGTTTTAGATCTTTTTAGCCTCCATTGCCAAGGCTCAAAGGTTGGAATGGCAACGGTGAGGTGCAAGGATGAAAGACTGCTGGTCTTTGCCTCATGGACAAAGCCTCGCGGCACGTAAAGAACATCTCCTGGCCAAAACATGAACACCCAAGACCCTCTCTTTGGCTTGTTGTCATGCTCCCAAGTTCGCTTCAAAAGAAGAGTCTTCCATAATCCCAAAAGCGTTGGTCCTGCACGCAAGGTCTGCAGCATTCGAGTGTTCTGAGAGTCTAGCACTTCACATGGAACTTCCAAGTGATCTTTGCCAACTTGCTCAGATGGGTAAGGCAAATACACCTCGGACGAACAGAAGGCGTGCGCAAAAGCTGAAGTTCAGCAACGACCAAAACCTCTTAGTCCCCTTCCTGAGCTTCGGGGATGGATGTTAATCTCCAATCTCCCAAGGTCACATGGTTTGGTGGATCAAGCGTGGCCAACAAATTCCACTGCTACCATGAATTCCATCTACAGTGTTCTAAGTCCTAAAGAAAGATCCAATGCATTCCTGCAATCTCAGGGCTTGACTTTTAGGGCAAGTGAATCCATCTCTGCTAGATGGATAAGAACATGCACTTGAGGCATGGCCCTTGAAGAACAACACACTCAGTCGTGTTCTTGATGACATTTTTCTCTCCCTAGAAGGATCTCAAGCCTCGGATCGCATGCTATTCTTGCAGGCTGCTGGTGAACTGTAAATGGACCAGTGCTTCTCTCCTTCCAACTGCAGCACCAATACATCTCGGTCGTCTGCATGGGGTGGAGCCGTCTGCGAAAACTGAGGTGTCACATAGCAGTTTGCATACACAGAAGGAAACTTCAAGGCTCTGCAAAAAGTGTGTACAGGACGCCACAGCTGGTCCACATTGTTGATAATCAAGGAGGCTCCTTGTAAATATGCTTCGGCAGGTGACGTATAGTCTTCGCATGGAGCCAGATTCTTGTAAATTACGAGCTCTGAACTTTCAGGGCATCCCAAAGACAAGCACCGCAAAAGAACTTCATCCAGATACTCCCAACTCAGCAAGTGCGAACGTTGTGCAGATGGCAGATTTCCTTTGAAGTACATCGGGCGTTGTTCAAAGATCTCGGCAAAAAAGACATCCTGACTGGTTGAGTTCTGCCCCGGCTTGCGGAGCCTTTCCCCGGCCCATCTGGACAGAGGTGTCACGTGGGTGTTCCCTCTAAGACGAACTGTTGGAAATCTTGAAGGACACGTTTTCCTGTATGGGGACCAGTTCCGTTGTACAAGACGCTCGAAAGCAAGAGAATCAAAACAACTATATATCGTCAAGAAGCTCAAAATGAGCAGGCCCATTTCTCTCACCCTGCCAGTCTCTCACCCTTGCTTGGCAAAATGCTGCAAATGTTGAGAAAAAACTTAGGAGTGCTAACCAGATCCTTGAAATGCCTCAGGGATGAGAACAGAAACAAGGGACTTCACACTTTGATTGATACTGTTCCTCAACAAAGCCCTGCTTTAAAGTAGTCTGTATCCTGGCAGGCCATCACTTAAAAAGATTTGCCTTCCACCCTGCGCATCAGCAAGCTTCTGGAGAGTGTGGGGAGATCAAGCTGCAGAATAACTCTGAGTTCAGGCAGCCAGCCATCCAAGGCCAGGAAGCAATCTTGGGCGCATCTGCTTCGAGGCTGACTCATTGGGCAAATCTTGAGATGTCGCTGCTGCGTCTACTCATAAAATTGCGACTGGGATGCGCATGCAGGATCGTCATAGAATCTATCACATTTAATTCCAAGTACAAGCACATCACCCGTGAGATAGAAGTAATCAGATTCAAAAACCTCTGATCCAGAATTCTCGGCACACGAGGCACCACAAGGATGAAGGGACTGGCCTTGAACAACTTAACCTGACTGTGTCTGTTCAATCAATTCCAAGGCTTCCAAGGCCCTAGGCATCGACAACCCTTCTGTTCTGAACTTAAAAGCCTGTAACGTGCTGCAAATTTACCATGACATTTTGCAGCGTTCTGGCTGTTTGTGGAAATGAAGCTGTGTTGTGTCTAGCTTCATTCATTGCATCTATAATTTGGCTCCTTGCATGCCCCACAGTCGCATGATCATGGGATTGCTGCGAATCTAAGACAGGCGCGTCCAGTGAAAGGTTTTCGACCTCGCAGTTAGATTGGCGTCTCAAGCTGTTGCGAAAGCTAGAAGTGCATTTGATTCCTTTAAAGCTCTCGCCTGTCTTACTTGAGCTCCATGTTGCATGCACTTTCTCTGCGCATAGCCATCTACATACAGTACAACAGAGCGTCACTGGCTTGCCATTGTGCCCGAAGTGGCCCGAATTGGCCAGAGCAAGCGAACACAGCAAAGGAGCAAACAAGAACTTTTGTGATTCTCAAAGCGTCTAACCCATGCTCTCACTCTGTACGTGATTGAAGAGTCCCCATGCCCCAAACCCAAGAAGGTGAGGATTGAATCATGGATGTTCACGGTTAGAATGTCATGGCCTGATCTTGAGCTCCTGACAGTAGAGTCTTCGGCTTGCTTTCTGACTCTCAGATCAGTTTCTACCTGCACTCGAGGACAAGAGATGCTTTCGTTGCACAGGCCTGGCCTCCTTCTTATCCATGGTCCATAGGTGCATACTGATTGGCCACACAAGAGATTGATTGGCAACACACACACACACCGACACCGAAGACTCCTCAGCAGTTCTGCATGGTTGTTCACTTCTCCTCGCAGTTTCAACTCTAAAAAAGATGACACCCCGATTTTGCAGCGACATCGGCCTGCCGCTCCACTGACTGGATGCGCTGAGTGAGCTCACCCAAGCGAAGTCCAGTCTGGGCAGCGGACACGGTGAAGGCCCAAGAACACGGGGAACAAGGAGAGCAGAATGTTGACTTACTGGTTGAAAGCATCTGAAGCGGCTGACACCGAAGTCTACAACACATTTCAGCAGTTCCTTAGATCATCTGGCAGACTTGGTCTTTGGAAAACTTGTACCTTCTGGAGCTCCCAAAAACCCGCTGAGGTGCCTGTGCCGAAGCTCCCGACCTTAAATGCTTGGTTGATTGCATTCGCAACCAAGCAGAAATAACTCTTTCGTGACCACGGGAGCTTCCCTCAAGCTCTTGGAAAGCGTGTAAACTCGTAGTGCAGCAAAAACTACCGATACTCCTCAAGACATCGGTCATACTCGCGGTTTATATGTCTCTTTGACATACCTGGGCCACTTCCTGCCCAAGTGAAGGCATTTACTCGTCAGCTCGTAGTCTATGCATGGGTGTGCAGGCTTCTTTCAAGTTTTTTGCAAGCATCAACATGTTAGTCCAAAGTAGGCTTCTGACTTGCTGTGGATCTCCAGCTGGCCTCCAAGAAGGAGCGATGTTGGATGAGAAGATATCGGAATATCTAGCTGAATCTAGCTGAAAGTCCTCCATGTGGTGTTTCCAAATCTTGCAGTCCCTCCCGGATCAAACAACCATTCTGTCAATTGACTGTAGGCCAGCACGAGTTTGGGAACTCCAAGCTTATCCGGATGGATAAGGAAGTTCAGGGTCTCTGATTGCGGCACTGGTTGCTTGTGCCCATGGGCCAAGCAGATTCCAGACCATTTGCTTCCATGAGAAACATGTTTTTCGCTTTCTGATTGCAAATGGTTCACACATGTTTCAAACTTCAAACGATTCCCTGCTCAAACTCTTTGTCTTTCCGATATTATTTTGGGTAGTTTTTGGAAGTCAAACCACTTCCATGCCAACAATGGATCAGGGTGGTGACACTTCAGCCGTGAAAATCAATCTGACCCTCCTCACACCCACCTTTCAATTAATTTCCAAAAAAACATTTATATATTGAAACAAATTAATCAAGACAGTGACTCCACCCGCCCGTGGATCAACATACCTAAGGTAGATTGCATTTCTCGCTGCTATACGTGTCATGGAAGACTTTATCTGTTTTATCTATTGTCTACAGGATGGGATTTTGAAGCTGCGCGCCCCGTTTGGGATTGTATCTTTAGCTCAGTTCCTTGGAAAGAGTCCTAGGAACTGAGTCTCTTGGAGTCCGTTTGGGAGGTGGATCCGATCCTCCTGGCCAAATGTTCCACTGAAAAAGAGCTTCGTTGAATGCGAACGGTCAGTCGTGGAACATCCTGAGTCGCCCGGCCAATTGGTGCCAGGCGGAGATGGCGGGGTACCCATTGGTTTGAGACCCACAGATCCTGCCCTGATGTTCAAAGTATTGAAACGAGGTGGTGCCTATCTGAACTGCATCAATTTCGATCGAACTCTGCACCAGCAGACTGTCGCCTGCACGTGCAAGCCTGGGAGGGCCAAAACGAGTTAGAACTGCATGGGTGGCACAAGTACAGCTTTACTCAGGCTGTCTACCAGCGATTTGCCATGCAAATCGACATTGGACATTGGTCAATTGAATGTGGTCTGTCTATTCAACAATCGTTCCTTTTGCCTACATGTTCTTTTTGCACGTTCTGCACCCACACAAAGCAACAACCACATCAGCTCCAAGTGCCGGGCGGAAGCTGCAGTGGCTGCAAAGGTGGCTGCATCCGACGCTTGGAGTGTTTGATGACCCGCTTGATTCAGATTCAATATGATGTGTGGGCTAGCTCTTGGAGCTGAGGCCAGGCGATGTGAACTTTTGTTGGGCATGTGAGCTTGGAACGTTTGTGGCGATGTGAGAAGAGCGGCTCATTTCACAGAAGTAGAGCAGTTACAAAATAGAAGGCTGAAGGCAATTCACCCTTAATCATCCTCATGTACTTGATATCTCAAGCTTGGCTCCACTATGTTCTAGTCAGTGCATGGTGCCAAAGAGTCTCAGCTGGACTGCGAGGGAATCCAAAAACATAGCTGCCATTACCACTTGAGCGAAATCTTCGATGGCTTAAAGGCTACCAGCCTGAAGTTTCAATGGATGAGGTTTCGACTTTTCTTTTTTAAAGATAACTCTTGCGGCCCGTTGCTGAAAGACTGCAGAAAGCCACAAAAGGCCAAATGAAACCGAATTGAGGAGCTCCTACTTCAATGCGCAAACTTGCCCTCAACGACTTTACTCCAATCAAAATAAAAGGAGGGTGGGAAGCTGTCAGGAATCCTTTGTTTGTTGGATCATCAATGCATTGTCCTCAACGATAGCAGCTGATAGCATCGCGTTGGATGAGGCAAGAATAACCGTGACAAGTACATCCTTCAGTTCAGTTTGAAGGCTTTGCACTGGCCCAATCCAAAGCTTTTTCACACTCTGCTCATGTTTGCTCAATCCTGCGACGTCAACGGGGAAGGAAGAACTCTGATTGAAGGAATTTGATAAGGATGCCAAAAGCCATGAGACGTGCATCGCCTCAACTAATACACAGTGCCACTCAGAATCACACATCTTTGAAGGTGAACTCTTCTTCCGTCGAGCGCTTTTTGGTGCATGACCTAACAACAACCCTCCAAAAAGAGATCATGTTGAGTCCCACGGCCTCGCAGTCGCAGGTCATTTCTGCGTCGCCATCCTGTGAATCAAGGACCGTATCGCAGGTCAGGTTAAGTGACGGCCTGGTTCTGAGTTTACAAGCGTTCGGGGTTGTAAACTTAGGTTTGGAGAGCGTCGCTCCCACAATATCTCTGGACATTTGAACATCATCCCAAGGGTCCCAAGAGTGGGAAAAGTTCTTGCAAACTGCTACCACCTGGTTTCATCTGTAGGGCTGGACGTGCACCAAAACCCAGCCATAGGGCACATGTACTCTGTAAGTAGAGAGGTCCATTTCCACGTTTCCTCTCCAACGTGCCAAGATAAGGGTCACTATTTTTGGTCACATTGGAACTATTCCGAAGCTTCTATGCTGAAGAGCCTGTAAATTCCCAGACCCAGCCTGCTTCTGTACGGATTGGACTCCTGCTCGCAGGCTCCTGATGGAGAACACCCGGGACTCTCCAAGTGCTTCAGGCAAGTCAGCATTGCAGCCACCCACCTACCCAGCCATCCACCCAGTCCACTGAAACCACCCACCGGACCTGGCAGACCTGGCAGACCTGCTTCTGACCGGTCAGGTCTACTTGCATATTGGCCATCTACATCCATCATCCGTCTACCAGGGCGTCCCCGAAGCGGCGCCTCTGGGAGACCTGCGTCAAGACCGGCCGAACTCGTAGCGGGGGGGAGATCGAGGTTTTTGGAGCGATGTGCCAAGAAGTCTGGCAGGCAAATGCCTGCAGTAGAGGTATGAGATTCATGAAAGACCCTGCATGACTTCTTTTAAAAGACATAATACCTTTTCTGTGCAAAACTCATGAAGTTTCATGATCAAAGCAGTTTGTCATGCACTTGATCAAGTTTTCAATCTACTGCCAACTCACCCAACCAGGCAAGGTTTACGACATTGCACTTCTAATGGCATTCGGTGACTTTTCAGAAACATACATCTCCGCTCGCACAGGACGAATCATGTGTGACCCGCACAGATCGAAAATGACTTGTTCTCTCTAAAAGGATCTAAAAGGACTATTTTCCAAAGCCACATGGGTTGTGGGAAACTGCACTCTACACTCTTTTGGGGCCTTCTCACTCTTCTCCAGGAAGGCTGTAGGGCGCTTTTCGGTATTTTTTTGGGACCTTGCGCATGTGGCTGGATCAAACCCCCAAGTGCAGTGCCTCAATGAAAAACCTTGTATATTCCGGGATATCCATGATAGAGAGTGACAAGTTGCACTCAAGATCCAAGCTTGGAAAGCGTACAAAAGGACAGTCTTCACAAGAGTCAACTTCTCATTCCACCACTGGCACCTGACATGTCCAGAAGCTGCCCACGCACCATTGGCTCAAAGACACGTCGCATATGGCGAGGTGAAGTGGCTGGCCATAGGATGCCATCAAGTACCGCCACCCCAAGAAAACCATCTCCGCAAGTATCTTCTTTCAGAAAATAAGTGGACCAAGAAAATGTTCGGTTTGGAACGCAAAGCATCGGAGTCACCCACTTTGGAGTGGCTGGTTCCCGGCTTTGAACGTCGCCAGAAGTCTCCTTTGGGGATCCCTGCTGACTTGTCCAGCTGGGCCGCCTCAGTCCACGTTGAGGGCACGGTTTTCTGGTGGGCTCAAACACGCAGAATGTGCATGATCGGAACTCTAAAGAACAAAGTAACATGAGATAGCAAGGCTTTTCATATCTTTTTCATGCAAGGTATTTTGATTGATCCATGGTTGACCTGCCACCGCACTTTGAAAGAATTTGTTAGACGGGTGTGTGACTGTTCTCCATCTCACAAAGTTCTGTGCAAAAGACAAGCATGCTTGGAAGCCTGTAAGGCCATAAGCGTTTTCCATGTCATCCAAACACATGTTCTTTTGTGGTCAGAGTGCAAACACTTGCCAAACAACATATCTGCCAAACCTCGAATGTACGAGTATGCCAAAGGCATCATCTCGATTCACTCAGCATAGTGAGGCTCCAAACGCTGAGCATGCCATTCATGGTATTCCCCAAGGGGTTGGTAGGAAGACCTGCAAGCGCAAGTTCAACCACGGGCACGATGTACCAAAGATGTTTTACGACCACTTCTGGATCAAAATCTATGGAACCACTCATTCTGCGTCCAGAATTCTCTCATTTGCAATGGGGAAAACACACTTTGAACGAAACGCCACATTTTCCGAGCCAATGGCAAAGGTGAAGCCCTGTTGGTGATCACATGAAGTTGGTGATTGGAACATTTCTCCCAGCACCTGTACTTGGGTGATCCCCAGACTAGAAGGAAACTTCAACACCTCATTGACTGCCCTTCAAGGCCCTGTTCGAAAAACACACCAACTGTTTTGGAGCTCTCGGAGTCCGTTCCGCCGTTTCGTGGAGTCTTTGGAGTTGCGTTCGAAATCAACGTTTTTCCGAGGCAGCGGCTGGCTCCGGCAATTCCTGGTTTCATCATGTTCGTGCCAGGGAGATTTGATGCCATATTGGTCATTCCACCTGGCAGTCGCCCAAGTCACTCACTGGTTTGGATTGAATCAAATGAATTGGTGGGTTCATGTGCCTAGCAATGGTGCGCCAGCAGGTGCTGGTGCAGGCGCAACAGGGTAGACCGGAGGAGGCTTGCTGAGCGTCGGAGGCCTCAGAAGGTGACTGTGGCGACCATGGGCCCGGACGAAGGCCTTGATGAGGGTGATGGATCAAACAATAGATGTACAAAATCAAACATGTCCTCAGATATTGCAAAAATGATAGGGATCCAAAAGCATACTCCTAAACTGCTAGTACTTACAGCGCTCTTAGTGCACCCAACAAATGGAGTGTAAGGTTTGTTGGAGATTTCACCCCGAGAGGCTGTTCACATACGCTTACTCCATCGAATATCAATCATAAGTATCCCAAAGAACATAAGTAAGAAGGGAATGAAGGGGACCAAAATGGAGGACAAGGAGCAAGGGGTCCGGGAGACCAAGAAACCAGGAACCAGACCAAGGGGACCAGGGGACCAAAGGACAACTTTATGTTATACATTTTATCATTATTCTGCTATTTTATCATAATGTATACACTAATCATTGTTTTGTTATCATTTTCTTTTGATGCTTATCCACCTGTTTTTGATGCCTGTCCCCGCGAATGTCTTGAAGCGAAGAGAGTATGGCTTCAACCTCGAAAAACAAACCGTATTTCCGATCAACACACAAAGGGCAATAAGCATCAAATTGTGTCCTAGATTGATCTCCAATCACATGATCGGAAACATCTTTGCAAGTAAGTCCTTTGAAGTTCTTTGGCATATCCATATTTGGTTGAAGGCCTTAACTCATGTTTTAAGTTCTTGTCTTTACAGGAGGGTCAAAGAAAAACATCCTCCCAAATTCGGCGGTGGGTCAACACCAGCTCTAAACCCTTGTAGGTTGACCTCCTGTAGGTCGTCCATTCTGTTCATGTTCCCTGGTTCAACCAGGGCCCGCAAGGTTTTGACCGATCTATTTCCTCGGTCCCATCTTTCCAAGCTGCCCTTGCATCACCTGGAAGGGAAAGGCCGAGCCCTCTGGGATGTGATCCATCGAGACCTCGGTATGGTTTGACGCGTCGATCACCGGAATGTACGGACGAAATCGATGGATTTTTCAAGCCAAAACACATCCATTTGTGCTACAGCTGGAATCATTGCAACAGGCAAGTGTCATTGGAACGAAGAGTCACTGTCCAAACAAATGCCTCAAAGAATTTCCAGGCTGATCGCAGGAGGTCAGTGATCTGAGCAGCCGCCCAGAGTTTCAATCTTGGTGGGCCTCTTGAACATTGTTTCATCAACTTGCTTGCTCCGGCACAAGCGCTTGATACAAGAAAGTGTCTTGCTCCTTCAACTGAACAAAAAATGGCACACAAATATCCTATCCCCGCTGTGTTCCCTCAACAGAAAAGGCTTCAATTTGCTCCGAGTCACCAATTCGGGCGCTTCGGTCAGATTGCCTCAATGGGCTAATGGCTAATGGGCTGGGTGCTTCTCTCTCTCTCTCTCTCGCTCGCTCGCTCGCTCGCGCGATCAGCGGGTAAAATGTGGCATCTACCTGCCATGCATAACACGGGTTACAGGGGACATTCCATGAACTCAGAAATCTGTAGCAGAATCGCTTGGTCTCTGAGAAGTGCCTGAGAAATTGAAGCCTTCCTGCACCACTCGGGATGTCTGACGGAACATGTGTGGTCGGAGTCGCAGCGCCAAATTGGCTGGCAGCGCCAAGTGGCACGGGATTCGCAACAGCCATGGTGCCGACTTTGCCTTCGGGAAGTGAGACAAAAAGGCATCATTGCCCTAGAAAGATCACCCAATAAGAGAGAGCCTCTACAAAAGCAGCAAGGATTCTTTCTCGAACTGTGACCACAAGAATGGACACAATGCTTCACCCATCCAGCCGAATTGGCTGCTTTCCTCAACGCCATGAAAACCCAATCGAACACTGCAACATGGATTTTGCTCGGTCTGGACCCGCATCTTGTTTGATTTCTCTCTCCAATGTACACCCTCAATCGCGTCTCTAGCCTCCTCCAAATTGCATGGCAACAAAGGCGGCTGTGGCACAGGACCTCTGGATTCTGGGCACAACACTTGAGCATCAGAACTGAGAAAACCCGGACACGGCTTACAATCAAATCCCAAGTGATCGAATGTGTCGAAGGAAAGGGGCGACCCCAACCAATGGATTCAATGGATTCAATGGACTTAAGTCTATGTTGCCTTCTATATTTGTACTTCCTGCCAGACAGCTCGCAAACAATTCCTATCAAAGCAAGATGCGGCCTCTGGAAACAACACGGCAGTTCACTCCGCGGCCCTAGCTGCAAAAACAATACTCCCCTAAAGGAAGCCGTTGCGAAAGGAAGCCGTTGCCGTGGCCCAGCTTCAAGTCGTTGCTTTGTGGATCCTCCAAGGCTCTGACCCAATGTAGGAAGGTCCTGAGACGACCAACGTTGCAAGACCGCTCTCCCAACAGCAATGGCTCGCTCTTCTCGAGCGACCTCGAACACCGCCCCCGTCGGACGCACGGTATTGCTGCTAGGTCAGAAAGTGACGGACGTCGGCATCTGAGTGATTTGGGTTAGGCAGCTACCATTGCTCAGAGCTAACTGTAGCCTTGTCCAAAGCAGCTGATTCTGTGGGCTTGTTTGTGCTTGCCCAAAGTTGGAAGTCAGCCCTTAAGGACCGGGGGCTTCTTTTGCTGGTTGCTTTCAACTGATCTCAATCATCAAAGCTCTGGAGTTTGCCAAAAGCCCGTGTATGAAGCGCAACTGGCTTAAGTCAACCAAGGAGACTTCATCAAATAACTCACTTTTCAATACTTTTCCAAACAAGACAGTGAAAGAAATTAATTCACCTGACTTGCCCCAAGTCTCAAGTCTTCAGCAATTATGGCTGCAGTATGTTTATATGGTTTTCATTGATGGCCTCTCACTGCTGAAAGCCAGCCTGAAGTGTCTTCTGTATGCACACGGCTGCACACGTGCTTTCGGCCAAAAGCGGGACTTCTCGACACACACACACAGTGTCACACACATGAAGGTACGTCGCTCTCGACATTCCTTTGCGCCCGTCTCAAAGTCGAACGAGCCTTCGCCTGTAGTACTTCCAGATGCCGGTGAGCGCCGTCTCACGCCGTGCCGAACTGGCCAAGTGCGATGGTACCAGATGAGATGACTTATGCAGAGCAGGTCTTTTTTTTTGATATGGCCTGAGGGTTGCTGTCCAAAGACCATGCAGGAACGCCTGAAAGGCTTTGAGACCTTTTGAAACTGGAGAGCTTGTCGGAACCTGAGCTTGTTGAGAGGTGACAAGCAAATCAGAATAGCCTCTTATGATTAGGTATGTCTGTCGCTGGCAAAGGGCTGCAAGGCCTACCCGCACATGACTTTTTCAGGCGGCCATGCTCAATGTAATTTGGATCTGCTTCGGTTTGGACTGTGCCTTCGACATGATGCAACGAGGCTGACCATAGCGAGGATAGCCGTAGAGCGAGGATAGCAAAAAATGGACACTCGCCAAGGTATTGGTGGGTGATGACCTTTTTGGCCCGCAGCTGGTGGCATTTGTGCAGCTGCTGCATAGCAGGTGGAAATTGGAACAGTGGCAGGCAGGTGCTATTGTTGATGCCAGGACTTGGTTGTTGATTGACGGAAACCGAATGCTGGACTTGACGCGTGCCATTGCTCTGAGTAGCTTCTACCCTGGAACGCGGATGACTAGGCTGAGGTACTGCCATAGTCCCATCCCTATGTCAATGGTGGGCTTTTGCTAGAAGGCAATGCCGTGTGGAAGTATTAGCTGCAAATCACTAGCAGGGTACAACTAGTGGGCGCTATGCCTATTGGCCTTTTTTTATGCAGTGTACATGGTGCTGACTCTACGGTCTTGGATGTATGCATGCATGTAGGCTACTAGTTGAACTAATGACTGCACAAAAAAAGGATGTTTGGACCCTTCAACCACTGGGTGCCAATCCTTCTTTTATTCAGTTGATTTGGGGGTCCTATCATTGTGAAACACAACAAAAATCGTGAAAGACACCAACCCCTTTCCATCCAACTGAAGTCGCCCAGGCGACAGTCCTCTGGATTCACATCAGGCCTTGGACGGTGCTGGACGGGCAACCTTCCTGGACATTTTCCAGGATGCTTTGCTCTAACATCAGCAGCCCCAACATGGCCCAAGCAGAAAGGGAACACACCAACCAACCGGCTTTGTGTTTCGATCTTCTGTCCACGATGCACACCACCTGCTCAGCTGTTTGATGCGCGGACATGGTCAGGTGTGTATTGAACTACGCGGACCACTCTGGCCCAATGGCCTTTCGATCTATAGTTTTCCTCTTCGAGGTGATGTGATGGGGAGGCCCTATATTCTCAAATCATTCACACCCAAATCACGACCAGTTGGGGAGCCCCACATCTCTGGCAAGTCCGCCAAAGCTCCAGGGGGTGGCGGTGGTGGCAGGGGAGGCGCCCTTGGAGCCGCTGGGGGCGGCGGTGGGAACCTCAGCGTCGGTGGGAACCCGTGGGGCTTTCAGGGAGCATGGGAGGGTTGGAGGAAGAATCCTATTGAGAACTACTGATTCCATTTTCTGGGACTAGTGTAGTCTTGGATGGTCAAATCAAACTTTCACTGGAGCAAGCTGAGCAAGCTTGCATCAAGCCCATTCCAGTCTTATTGACGGGTATCAAATACCTCTGTTGTTGCTCTCGCTCCTGCTACCTCCATAAAATCAAGGGTGCTTCCGCTTGCTTGGCTGATACTTCTGCAGCTTTGCTTCTACCCCGGATACCACAAAATCTGTCATGCTCCTTGTTTAGCCGGCACAGTTGGGTCTCTTTTCGGTGTCTTTCAAAGACTGCAGCTTCTTGAAGAGTGAGAGAAAAAGGGTGATTCCACATTCCTCCAAGCACTGAGCTTTCTCCAATAGCATTTAGCTACTAGTAGCGTCCTTGCTACTATTAGCGATGGCCTCCAACCTAATAGCGATGGCCTCCAACCTAGTAGCTTCTTGTTACTAGTAGCGATGTGCTTAACTACTAGTAGCGTCATTGCTATGACAAAATGCCTTCCTATTTTTACCCCTGGTCCTTCTACGGGCGTCCCAACGCAGGTGGTGCTTCTGGCAGCTGCGGCCACTTGGGGGGCGGGGGCGGCCTCGTCTGTGGAGGTTCGCAAAGGTCAGAGTCCAAGCAAAACCACTTGGGCAAATGGCGACATAGGTCAACTTGTCCCACAGTCCAACATCTCGACCCATCAACTCATTTTCCGGGCTCTTGTTATATTTAAGGTCCATCAATCCAAACTGCCTAAGAATCACTAAGACCTTAGGGGAGTGGTCGCTGACCATGACCGACCGCAGAAGGCCTATTCCATGGCCCCTTCTTTTGTGATTCTCTCGGAGAAAAAACATCTACATCATTTCCAGTTTGGCCCTCTTGTGACATCGTCGCAAGCCTTTCCAAAGCAATAGGCAATAGATATTGCTCGAATGAAAGGGCGATAGGCGGTAAACACACTGCCCCGTGGACAGTAAGAATCTTCCTGATTTTCCATCTGGCACTTGATCGCGCACCCAAATTTGAAAGTAGACCTGCACTTGGATTCCTCACATACACAGTACCAACTGAGTGCCAACATTCAAACCTTTTGCCCAACCTCTCATCATCTCTCAAGTCCAAACTCTCTGCAGGACAAGATGCCCGCCCGGCAACATTTGAGTCATCAGATTGCCTTGGGAGACATACTCCACGAACTGGGCCCCGGAAAAGCCAACGAACCCAACAAAAAGTCTGGAAGTCTTTGCATGCTCTGGGCACCAAGAGAAAACTCCATGACTTGACACTGGATGATTGGTAGCTTGAGAAGTCGTTCTGGCCTCGCTGATCGTGCTTACGCGAGTGATGGAGGGCATACCTTGCATTGCCTCTCAAATGATGGAGACTTTTAGGGGAGCTTGACAGGCCTTGCTCCTGGTTGAGTTGTGATCGTGCTTTTCTTGGCCGAAAGCCCACCCAAAGTGTCAGAGTCAATGTCCCTGCAGATGGCTCCTATGTTCACTTTCCAAATTTCCAGTAGGGCTAGTTGAAGGAGGCCAAAGTGACACTTCCTGTTAGATCTCACTGCAACGCGGGGGCCCTTGTATTTGACATCTCCACAGCAACAGGTCGTCCCCAACAACTTGCCCAGCTCCGCCCCCCATGTTTTCTGAAGCTCTTTCGGCCACAACCAGAGGGCCGCCCGACTGAGAGCATGTGGCTTCTCCGCGCAGTTGCATGTGCACCTGAAAGTGCAGCTGGGCTTAGCAGTTGTGGCAAGGGGAGGGTGCTCATGTATTGTAAGAGGACAGAGGACATGTCAAAGAGTGCAGTATTACAGCATCATGAAGACTATCTGTCAAACAATGCTCGCCGGCTAAATGAAGGAGGTTGAGGAACCGCCGAAGTCAACTAGCACAACCTGCGCATGCGCATGCATGAACAAAAACACAACTGACTGCCAGTCTTTCAAGTCTTTCTAAAAACACACAGTAAAGCTTTCATTTCATGTCGACTCAAGCTACGCAGCTATGGCACCATCTGTCAACCTGGGGTTGTCAATCTGTCCAACATTCTGTCTATCCATGTAACGCGTACAACAATGTCCTTGCATAGCTCTCATAACTCACACATACCTCTGTCATACATGTTTTTCCTTGCAGCTAGAAGGGAACCTCTAGCAAAGCAAATTCTGGTCAAAGCCTGGTAACGACTTTTGATGGACGTTGCATAGCTAGTTTCCTGACCCTCTCGAGTATCCTTCTACCTCATCTGCTTCACAGCGATCCGACATGACTCCATTACATTCCTCGAGCTATCTATACGAACTGACTCCCTTTTGCCGGATGTATATGCTGATCACCCGAGGAAGCCAAAATGTGCCGTGCCGTGATCCCGGGGCCGCGGACGGATCCGGGCCCGGAGGGCACTCCAAGCGTCCCTTACGCCTCGCACGCCCGGTGGGGCTGTCGAAGAAGTGATCGAAGAAGTGTCGCTCGAAGAAGTCGTCAAATCCACTGATTGAAGTGAAGGTGGCAGCTGTCGAATCGGCGCACTGAATTTCACGATGTATCTTGAACAGTTTTTCTTCTACAGCAGGAGTATCAGCATTGTTTGAGTGGCTCCCAGTGTGCATGTGCATTGGATGTTCAGTCAAACGTGTTTGCCCCTTCCTTTCTTGAAAACAACTAAACGACTACATCCCATCATCCCCGGAGTTGTCACTGCATGAGACATATAAACCAGGATGACATCTGTGATGGTCCTTCATGTGGATTTGCTAGCACGTGCTGAGCTGCGATGCCTCAAATTCCCCAAGAACAACTCCTGAGTCCGTGACCGGTGCTTGGTCTCCAGCACTACGCCTTGCACCTGGTGGCTGTGAGACATGGCTGGACCCAGTGGAACCATGTTGAACCCTGATCCGTGCTGATTACGCACCCTATCCGTGCGCGTTGAACCTCGATTATGCATGTGATAGCTTCTGAAGCCTTGCAATATCCTATGGGAGGTGTATTGCCTCGAAGCAAACTTGCCTCACAAATGCTCCAAGACCCAGATAAGGCTGAATAGATTGATGGAACATGGGTCTCACATTTTCCTATGTTAAAAAAATCCATGTCCCACACCATCTGCTGTGCCAAGAGATTGATCGAGCACCACATGTTCAATGACCTATCCACCCTTCTGTAACAAGCCTGGCACAGCAGCAAAGCTGCTAGCCCGAAGGTGCCTGGCAGAGTCAACTACTGTGTTACAGCTTTCGAGGTAGGAAGGAGGGGAGCTTAGTTTTCCCACCACAGGTGCCCTTTTTTGATTCTTCTTGCCACCTCGGAAAAGAGATAGAATAGATGAAGACCCAGTGCTGAAAGAAGAAACAACTTGTTATGGGCAAGGTTGTCTCAACATGTCACCTTTGATCAACACAAGGTGCTTTGCAAACAAAGGGTCCCCTTCAATGACCTCCGGTTTTCAGCATGCATGCAAAAAAACAGTCGCGAACTTCTGGCAAACAGGTGCGGGTTCGTCACAAGATCTACAAAATATAAAAAATATTCCTTACCATATGTGCAAATCTTAGAACCTCCATCGCCAAACAACAATTCCAAGGCCAGGACTCTTCATTTGCAGCATCGCGACCGCCCCGAACCGCGTTTGGTGCCGACGCAGGCCCGGGGAACGGCTTGAGCCCGAGAAACCACCCATAACCATTCATCTGGGCCAAGGTGTCAAGCACAACCACCCTCAACTCCACCCTCACTATCCATTCACCTCATTGCTTTCACGTCGAAAACAACATCAAGGGTCTTTCGGTCTTTTCCGCATTTCCCATGTCCGCAGTTGCTGCTCGAGGTCCTGCTGAAGGTTGACCACCTTGCGTCGGTCTTTGGTGGGAAGGAGGAGCCAAAAAAAGATCTGTCATTAACTTTTTTGACTTGGAATGAGAAGAACCTGCGCCTGGACATATATAGCCCTTAATAATTAGTATGCTTGGTATGTCAGATCTTTATGTGGGAGGGGTTGCAGTTCTTTCGTGATTCATTCGCAAACTTCATTGGAAACAGCAGTTTCATCGTGACAGCCCCTCAAACTGCAATCAGAAGCAGGCTGCCAATCTTCATGTCCAATTGCATTGCTGCAGCCGGTCGATGCATAATTTGCCAACTTTTCGCAGATTGTCTTTTGAATGCCCCAACAAACACAATTCGGTGCTCCGGAAACAGTCAAACAGCATTTTCACAGCCCATGACAATGCAATTTGACAACCTTTCGCAGATGGCTTTTTGAAAATACCTCAAATAGCAATTTGGCCACCTGCGGCTGACAGGCGACCTCTGATTGCTGAAACCATCTCAAAAAGCAAGTTTGCTACAGACCTCTCAGTCTCGGTGCTCCTTTGGACAGCCCCTGAACATGTAGTTTTGATTTTGTTTTGCCAATTGAATAACAACCCCCAACATGCAATCGAAAGCAGCCAGCCAATCTTCTCAGGTCTAGCCTCTTGGCCACTTGCATGTTCACAGCCCCTTAGAATTCAATCGGAAACAGCCAGTCATTGCAACCGCAAGCCAACCTATTATCAGGTTAACCAACAAACTTGCTTTTGCAAACCTTTTTCAGGACTTCCGAGAACCTTTCGTGACTGCAGCCAAATTATTCAAGCAGCCCTTTTTTCACGGCTTTTGAACGACCCTCGCGTGGTTGGACAACACTACCGACTTTTTGTGGATTTGTACATGCAGCTGCCTGGAAATCCAATGGTTCCTGTGGTGCAGGGGTACATCGCAAGTGTGCCTGGCGACTCCCCTCCGGTGAGAGCAACTCCAAGCGAACCAGTAGCTTGCTCCTCAGCCTGGCGAAGCGCCAGCGGGGGCCGAATCGTGTTTTCGGCACCAATCCTTATTCTTGGCCATAGAGTCCTGACTTGACTTCGGGGTGCTAAAAAGCATGAGCTTCGCTCTGCTTGTCGACTGTGCCAAGCAATTATCTTCACAGTCTGTCAGTCTGGACGTCACAGCAGGACGAGGAACCAGCCGGGCCTGGCGGCGAGTTGGCTTGCCTGAAGCTGGTCCAACGCAGCTGGTCCAAGGCAGCTGGGTTTTTGTTTCAGACATCTCAGCTCTCCAGCTTTCAGCTAAGACCTATATTCTGTTTCAAGTTGTTTCAAAAGTTATCCGGCAAAACCCTTTGTCAAAACAGGGACATCCCAGTGAAGAATGTACACACAAAGTGGTGCGACCTGTCTTCATTCAAAGTCGATAATCCTGGCCCAGCCCAAAGCACCAAGACCCCGGCCTCTTCTAGGTCCTTTCTCTGCAACTCTTCTTGCACCTCGCGTTGAGACGTTGGGATGTGGCGCTCAATGCCGAACACGGCACAAAGTCTAAACGCAGCTCAACACCTTTTGGCCAACTGCAAACCGTCCAAAGCCATGATCTTTTCAAAACACATCCGTTTCCTCAGTGGGATGCTGGCATCACTCTGTACTGAAACACCACAGATCCGTCGACCCCTGGCAGAAATATACCGCACACAGAACTCCCGCGTCGTCCACCGAACGCCTGATTCAACCTCGCCAGCGCTGCGAAGTCACGCGCCCAGGGAGGCACTAGAGGGTGAGGAACCTGCACAAAAGGCTCACTGAAGACACAACTATGAATTGGGTCTATCCTATTACCTGCAACAGTGGATGATGATGGCTAGGTTGCAGGCCTTGTTCAAAAATGATGATAATTGTCTACTGACTGTTACAGGTAAGAACGGACAGACCCTAAATATGAACACCCGTTGACCACGAGGAGACCGACCCGTTAACCTGAGTCCGGTGTCGGGACCTCGTGCGCGGCGGGCGAACGTGGTGGGGTCACGACCCCTCCGCGCTGTCGAGCTCGAGCTCCCGGCGGAAGGACCGAGGCCTGTGGGTTGCGACCGTTGGTGCACCGTGGCTCCAAACATCGACGGCTTCAGCTCCAAGCGGGTTCCAACATCGACGGCTTTGATGGATCGCCTCGTTTCGCAAGCAATGTTCCATCCCGTAGTCCACCAGCAGCTCTTCACCGCGCCCTGTGCACAAAGACTGAGAGTTCTCATCTCTTCTCCTTTGACTTGAATTCAACGCATGATGCAAAAACAGTGATTCCTTGACACCAGTGATCCTGGTTTTGTCAAAAGCAATTCAAGATCTATGACTTCTCTGTCCCACAAGGGCCTATGGGCTTCGTCACGCAAATCTCCGCCACCGGGTTGCCCTCAGAAGCGCCACGGATGGCGCAATTGGGCTCCTCTGCGATGCCA